GTAGCTTTGCAAATCATTCACAATGGGTAAATCGAAGGATATGGTTGAAGTGCTCAAGTCTGAAACCTGAAATTGGAAGCCAAAGTGAAAGAGGCAGAAGCTACTGCAAATGCCATGTACCTTCAGAAGGCCGATCTCGAGCAGCGAAGCGCTCTGTGGTTTCGAACCAGCGATACGAAAGACAGGGAGATACAGATTCTAAAGGATCAGCTGCAGAAGGCGAACATGGATATGGCGAGACTGGCATCGTCCATACCGAAGAGCGTTGAAATGGCGAGAGAAATCAAGACTCTGTCGGAGATGAACGAGCTTCTGAGAAACCAATGCAGTTCCAGATCTGCAGTTGCAGATTTCAAACGAGAGAGAAGAGATCGTGAACGGTTGGCGTCCAGAGGTGGTAGATCCGGTTCAGGAGTCACCAAAACTGTAAGGTCGGTCATCCGGCAGCTTCAGATGCTCGTCCGTCGAGACGGTTACGTCGAAGTGGACGGACCCGGCGGCCACGATCTCGAAGTGGACTGCCATGACGGCAGCGCCATCGCCGATGGCGATGAGGCGAGTAGCAGTAGCAGCGACGACGACGACGCCGAAGACAACAACATGAACACCAACCGCGTGATCCACGATACGACGGATAACAACCTTGTTAAGCAGTGTCTTCTTGAACGATTTCAATTTGAAAAAATAAAATAAAAAAAAAACAAACAAATATTTGAGTTTCCATTTTCTGTTTATTTGTTGTTTTGTGAGCAATGGAGAAGTATGACTTGACAAAACATATTTTCAACGGTACTTTCGGCAGCGTGTTCGCCGGCGTAAGGCGTTCGGATCAACTTCCGGTTGCAGTTAAAAAGGTGAAAACGACGTGCAAGTCGTACCCCTCGGACAAGCACGGCAGAATGGTTATCAGGGAGGTCCATTTTCTCGAGCTTGCTTCCGATATCGAGAACTGCATCCGTCTGCTCGAGTGGAAGCACGTGGGTCCGCACCATTTCTTGGTGATGGAAAGGCCGGTGAATTGTTCGGACCTGCATCAGGTGATAGAGGAATTCGGCATATTGGCCGAGAACAAGATACGCCGCATATTCCGGCAGACTGTTCGGGCGTGCATCGCATGCGCCGAAAAAAGATTCGTGCACGGTGACATCAAACCGGAAAACATCCTCGTGGACCTGGACAGATGGGACGCCAAACTCATCGACTTCGGATTCTCCCGATACTTCGACGACGATCGTCCGTTCTTTTACCTCGAAGGTACGACCGATTACCTTCCACCCGAGTGGGAACGAGAAGGCTGCGTGCGTTCCCTTCCGGCCACCGTTTGGTCGTTGGGCCTCGTCCTGTTCGAGATGTGCACGTTCTTGGACGTGAGCTCACGCAAGCCGTCCGACATCGAGAACGTCACCGACGACGTTCTTCGGTCTCTTCTGCTGTCGATT